ATTAGATTCTTAGAATGTGTTTCTCCTATTAATTTGTAAGAACTCTTTATATAGCAAAAATATGGGGCCTATATATCATTGCATATATTTGCCATTTTGTTTCTCTTTACTTTTTTTTAGATAACAGATTATTTTAATTTTTATAGAGACTTTTCTTTACGTTCCCCTTTATTGTACACCAACATTTGTTTTTTAGCAACTTGCAACTTTTAGGCTATGATCTCCCATGAGGAGGGGAACAAGATCAGATTGTGGCAGATGATGATAGATCTATGAAAAATTTCTATGAAAAGAACACTGAATTTTTTTAGATGAAAGTATAGATAAGATTTTATTTCCTATATCACATAGGAAATATTACCTGCAAGTCATTGCCATGGAATCTGAACTGTGTGAGGAAACACCACCGTCAATATCCAGCCCCTCATTTTGCAGTTAGAAATCAGCAGCTCAAAGACCTTGTTGGATGATTTGTCTGAAACTGAGACAAAAATACAGATCTTTGAATCTTAATCCAGCTTGCCTGTACAACCCCACCCTGTCTATTTCTCTCTTATTCAATATGTTAGATAAGTTTCTGAAATACTTGTTTTCCCCGCAAAATATTTATTTGATTGGATTTTTTCTTATCACAAAGATACCACATGTTAATGATGGAAAAAATGAAGAAAATACAGATAAACTTAGAAAGAAGACAATTTAAGACACTTTGGGGCCCACCCGCCTCTAGAGACAATAACTCTTAACATTTTTATATATCCTTCATTATCATATTCTCATTCTCTCTCCCCCCCCAATCTGTGTGTGTCTGTATGCAATCATATTTTATATTTTGTTTTATAACATGAGTGTTTTATGCAGGGTCACTAGATTTGTTTGTTATTTTGACGGCTGTATAGTATTTTATCATGTGGATTCTACTTTACTTAATAATTTCCCAATTGTATATTTAGTTTCTACTTTTTGCTTTTATGTTGCAATTCCAAACACTGTGGATAACCTTGAATGTATTTCATTGTTCAGTTCTTATTAGTATATTAGGATAATTTCTGACAAGTACAATTTCTTTATGAGAATTTAAGATTTCAATTCATATGAACAGCTTATTTTATTGTTAATTGTATTATGATCAAATTCGATATTTACAAATAAGAGAACATTGTAACAGACTTGCAATCATCTATCTGCAGGTGCTCGTTTCTGAAATGTGGATTTAATCTGACATCTAAAAGGAATACTGTGTATTTAAACAATATGTGCCTGTCTTCAGACAGAGTATTTCCCCTTTGATATGTTTGCCTGGTGCCTACTAAGTGCTGGGTCCTGTGTCCGACTTTTTTACTGCATGTTTTCTCCTTTATTCCTCATATCTGTTTTAAGGGCTATTTTGATTTACAGACAAAAAGGTGGCAATTGGATGAATTAGGAAGCATGGACCTAATCAGGTTGTAGAACCTGAGTTCCAACTAGGATGACCAGCTTGTTCCGGTTTGTCTGGCACTGTCCTGGTTTTTCGCGCTGAAGGTCCTGTGTCCTAGTAAAGCTCTCGTTCCGCAGCAATGCAGGACAGTTGCCCTCTCAAAACAATGGAACCTTCTAGGGTATTCCATTTGTAAATGATTGGAATCTTGAAGACAAGGAAGGAATTGTTTATACCTGAGGGAACATGGGTTATCCTTGGTTTTATAGTGTTTATGTGCACATAATGTTAAATATTTTATTTTTCAGGTCTCTTCATGTGCTCGTGTGCAATGCAGCAGCTTTTGCTCTCCCTTGGAGCCTGACAAAAGATGGCCTGGAGACCACCTTCCAGGTGAATCACCTGGGGCATTTCTACCTCGTCCAGCTCCTGCAGGATGTTTTGTGCCGCTCAGCCCCTGCCCGTGTCATTGTGGTCTCCTCGGAGTCCCATAGGTGGGTTAGCATTTGATGCTTTTTCACTCATCCCCTTTCTCGTGCCAGCTAACATTTCCGCAAGGCTCTCTTTCTGAAAATGATTTTGATTAGTCCTACTAGGAGAAGTGTGGGTGCACCCAACCTACCTTGCTTTTTCCAGTCTGCCTTCAGTTTTTCCGGTCTTTTTTGTGTGTCTGTGTGATTGTGGGGGATTGTTTGGGGGAGACTGTCTATAGCAATGTAGATTGTTTTTACAACTATACTTCGAGCTCCTCATTGATTTAGCTTGGAGATGGAATAATAATTGATTAAATCTGAATGGCGTGACCTTTATTGATTTGTAATTCAACAACTTCAACATCTTACCAAGAAGAATGTGCAGTTATTCTAGCAGGAGAAACAATGCAATTAAAGACTGCGAGATGAAATCCAATTGTTTTATAATGAGAAATTAGGGAATTCAATGCAGACATTAACTGTGTAATTGTAGAAAGGGAAGTACTGTAGTTAGAGCATATTAGAAATCTGGCCATGCCTCTTTTGGTTAAAATTTCAATTAAAACATCAGATGGCACTTCTTTTCTATTACCATTAGGAGAATATTCAATTGACTAAAAAGACATTTGAAAATTTCATCGTATTTTCAGCATATTTGTTTCTGGAGTTGGGTAAACAACTATTTGTCTAAAGAGAAGTACTCGGAAAAGACAAAGGACTTGCTGGGTGAGGGTAGATTTAATACTTGTTGGGGAGATTTCTCTGTCGAATTTTCTTGGGGTGGGAGCTGCGGGGGTAGGGGGAAGAGCTTTCATTCTTAGCAGAGTAGCTGGAAAAAAACTAATGTACTAGGGCCTATTTTTTTCTCCTCCTTCTCCATCTTAAGTCCTGAAATGTTTTAGTGACCCAGAATGAAGCTTATTTTTTTAATCATACTTCCATAAAATGTAACCCCTGGGACTTGGAAGAGAGAGACCAGCCAAGGGTTAGCTTGAACCCTTTATCACTCCCAAACACAGGGGCTTATGGTATAAGTGACACACTGCAGATAGATTTACTTTTACCGTTTTAAATTTATGATGGCTGAAATGAAAGGAAAATGCCAGTAATAATCCTCCCCCGTGTTAAAAGACATGAAACATCTCGTAATTAGGTGGTAACAAAATCTGGACAGCCTTATCTTTGCAAATCACACCAGGTTTGAGAAAGAGAGTGGAGTGGCCCTGGAAAGGAGCGAGGGAGGCTACCGCGGGGGCAGGCGGGAGAGAGAGCTCCGGAAATAAATCTGCCAGCCCCAATCGTTTACCAGATGTGGAGGGCACCGCGGGATATGTTTAAATGAGCTGGTATTTAATGGGAGATTATGTCGAATTGTCAGCTGCTCACTTTCCTTTGTAAATCTGTATCTCAAATGGTATTTCGTGCGATGTCTTTGTTCTCTCCTTAACTACAATGTAATTCATGGTAACCTTGGAGATCTTGAAACTTAATTTCATTAAAAAGATGAATTTGGGAGGAAGGGCCTTGGTGTCCTGAATTAGATCCATTTCAGTCTAGAGGCAGGGCCTTCCTGAAGTGTGTTGTCAGGCCCACTCCTGTGTGATGACAGGTTTTCTGCTTTCCTGTTATTCTTTGCACATTATTAAAAGATATTTTTACAAAATGCAGATTTCCCCCAAACTGGCTTGTGCATTACGCTTGTGCCGCACCCCTTGGTAGCTGAGAGCGAGCATGGATACTTGGTGCAGGCAGCCCACGAAAGCACTTGCTCAGAACCCAGAGCCCTAAACCATGTTGTAAAATGCAAGTGTTGATATCTAATTACCTTCATAAACCTTGGCGGAATCTCGTCGTTGGAGTCAAGACCCCCTGTTAGGGGAAAAATAAAGTCCTATGTTTGCAGAAAATATTATACTAGACTGCCCCAAGGCAAAATATTTATTAGCCTTCCTGTGTCTTCACTGTGTTTTAGTTACTTATCTGGAGTCTGAGCAAGCGAATTGAGTTTCTGCATACCTAAAATACATCATATTGAAATGAGAACTTGACTTCCTTGCTGTGAAAAAATTTCAGATAACAATTAAAATAGAATGAAAAGCGCAGAGCGCTGGCTGAACAACCCTAAATGGCTGCAGCTGCGTTGAGTGCCAAATTGCTACACACACACACAATTTCTGATGCAAATTCAGTTCTATTCTTTGAACATGCTAGCTTTTGTCTGTATAGAATCTAGCCTAATTATTTTAGTTGGGGAATTAAAAAAATCCTCAGTTTAAAAAAAAGAACAGAGCGGTATATATAGAAATATGTGATAGGGGGGTCCCCTCCAAAAGCAAATGCTAATGTCCGCAGAGCAAATGTTAATATTTTAATGTACTAGGAAGGGAGAATTCTATTAAGATATTATTGTTTGGCTTTGTAAATTTCTCAACTTGAAAATAGAGTAGGCAGCATTTGAAAAGTTGTTTTCCTGCCTCTTGAGCTGAGAGGTGAACATGCTCATTTTTCAGGAGGCCTGCCTTGGGTCACAGGGACCAGCAGCTTGTCTACCCTTCCCACTTCCTGGAGGGCTGTCAGGGCAAGCTGATCAGACCTTAAAAATGGGTTTTCTGCCTAGGAGGATGTGGGGAAGAAAATCAGGAGTCAGCTTTATAGGGGAGGGCTGTTTGCAGAGGATGCACCTGACATTTAGAACTGATGCTTCTCCATCTTGAAACTATCAACCTTGTTCCATCTAATTTCTCATTATGACGTGTGTGTGTGTGTGTGTGTGTGTGTGTGTGTGTGTGTGTGTGCGCGCGCCTTTTTTCTAGATTAGGGACTAGGAAGGAATGACTTCTTTTCTCGAAGTTTAATCTGCCCACTCTTCCCCAGTAATGAAATACCTCTGCGTCATCCTTAAAACCCAAAACGTGGAGCTCTAATTCTAAATAGTAGAAAGTCGCTGGGCACAGTGGCCTGTGCCTGTAGACCCAGCTACTCAGAGCCTGAGGCAGGAGGAGCCCTGGAGCTCAGGAGTTCAAGACCAGCCTGATCAACAGAGCAAGCCCTTGTCTCTAAAAACAACAGCAGCAACAACAACAACAAAACAAACAAAAAACCTTAAACATTAGAAAGCGCTACATATAAATATTAATGAAGAACAAAGAGTTGAACCTACTGGTGAATTTTGCCTTTCAAGCAAGACTCGAAACGAGGCTTTTTGTAATAAGGGGAACTTGGCCTTTGGTTTGGAATTTCAAACCCGTGATCAAACTTCAGTTCTCTGATCCTGTATTTAGTCCCTATTGTGTGTCAGGCCCTGTACTAGGCAACATGCAAGAGTCTTACAGTCTTTCTACACATTCACAGTCTAGTGTTGGAACCAGGTGACAAAATGACTTTCAATCTGGTGTGGTGACAACAGACAAAACACAAAGATGGCACTGCTAGTTTTGTTACTGATCTTGGAAGGGTGGCAGTATCTTCGAATACTAGGAATGATGGCATGGACTGGGTCCTAGAGAGTAGATACTTAATTTCTATGGAAACATGTATTCAATCTGGTTCGCATGGCTTCTTTCACGCTCTCCTCCACTGACACCCGAGAAATCCTTGTGACATCTAGCTATGGGGGAGTTAGTTAGGGACAGATTCCTGGAAGAAGTGGTCCCTGGGTTGGGTTGGGCTGAACAAATGTGCCAAGAGGGGTTTCTAGCAGTAGTTAATGAAAGAAGAGTGGAAAGCGGGAGTGAAGGGTGTTATATTTATTCCATACCTTTGACATATTGTCTAAATCCCTGATGCTCCTTTCTACCCTAAGTAGGTAGAGTTGCCAAGGCATGTCTCACAGCTTGAATCCTTCGGTTCTTAACTCAGAAGCTCCTTTTTGTGACAACTATTCTGTAGCACCTTATTACTATGTTGAAATAAAGTTCTGAAATAATAGAACTTTCCTGTAGAAATATATTTTTAATTCAATACGATAGCTTGACTGTAATGTAAAGAAAAAAATAAATGTAAAACAAAGTAGCACGTGTTTCAACATGTAAATGCTTGGGCAGGACCACAGGAAAGATAATCAGATTTGTGTGCCTGTGCATAAATCACCTCCAGTGTGACGATAACACGTGCAAACTGTTAACAGGTGTGTGATATTGCAGACTCCAGTAGCACCGACATTGAGTCAACCCTCACCCTCCCAAAAAACCCACAAAATCTCAAAGTGCATTCATTCCTCATTTACGGAGCTGTCGCATTACACTCCTGGAAATTCAGTGGATGTTAAAACTGTACATAGATTTAAAAAGCACAGTTAGGCTCTAGGCTCAGATAATTACACACATGCTTTTCATCTGCGCTAGTGTCCAGTGAGGCAATCTTGTTGAGCAAGATTCTGCCTGCATTGCAGGGCACTTGCCATCCCTGGTCCCCACCAGCAATCATGATGGCAACCAGAAAAAGGTCCCCATAAATCTTCAAATTTCCTGCTAAGTTTCACTGCCTTCAACTATCAAGCTTGGAAGTAGGGCTCTTGCTGTGGTCTGGGGACTCGGAGACAGGCAGTCAACAATTAGTCTCAAGGTCTCATTGCTATACCCTTGATGACGGCTCTGGCCACCGGCTTTGTTGATGACTTCAGAGCAGCAATGTCATTTAACACTAGAAATTGGATGTCACTGACTGAGTCCTGGAGAAGGGATATTTAATTTCTATTAAAATGTGAATTTCATCTGCCCTTATGATACTTTTCTTCGTTTTAGCCTAACCTGAACTGCTAATATTAAGGAACAATAGGATTATTCCATAATTTTCATTTTACCCTTTGCTTTTTGATATCCATAGCCATTTTCTAGAGTATTCTCATTGTGCCTCCTCATTGCCCAGTGCCCACAATTAATTGAATGAAGCAAAATATGAGGTGTCCTTTAACAAAGATGAGACCGTCTAGAAAATTCCTTTTGTTTGTGATGAACCATTCTTTTAAGGGCAGTCACTACTTTGTTGTTATTTAAGAGAGAGAGAGAAGGGAAGAGAGAGAGAAACAAACAGCTGGTGTTTAACGACTCCGTCAGACCCAATTATAAAACATCAACTAGTTACTTTGATTTGTGTGCGTCCATGCCATGGGTATACTTAAAAACATTAGACTGTGCCAGAACTCATTTTGGCTTTGTTTACATTTATCTTTTAAACGTATAAGACTATTGATGGCCCCTCACCAAGGTTATAACCCCTTTATAATCATTAATTTTTAATCTGCAAAAGAGTCTTGGAGGCAGCAAGACTCATCTATATTTACTTGGATGCTCAAATGAAAACATACAGGACTCAAGCATTGGCCATCATAATCCGGGAAAGCCCTGTCAAAGGTTAGGAATGTGGTATCTTTCTGTTTCCAAAAGCGGCAGCCCTTTATTTAAGATGCTTTTCCATTTAATTTAATTATCTTTGAACTTCCTGTTGAAGGTTTTGAAAAATATATGTTAGGAGCAGGGAAAGTTTAGCATGTTAAGGCTGCTACACTTAAGAGTGTGGGCATTTACTACAAGTCTTATCTTTGGATCCAATTGGTTGATATTGTTAAATCACCTTTGTCGATTTTTAAGGGAGACTTTGTCTTAAGATATGTGTGATTGAGTTTTCAGTAGTCTCTACATAGTTTCCTTGGATTTCTAATAAAAATAAAAAGCTATATGGCAGGTCAGAGCTCAGTTGCTTCACGTCACATTTCCTATTTTTTAGATTTACAGATATTAACGATTCCTCAGGAAAATTGGACTTTGGTCGCCTTTCTCCATCAAAAAATGACTATTGGGCCATGCTGGCTTACAACAGGTCCAAACTCTGCAACGTCCTCTTCTCCAATGAGCTGCACCGTCGCCTCTCCCCACGCGGGGTCACGTCCAACGCAGTGCATCCTGGAAATATGATGTACTCCTCCATTCATCGCAACTGGTGGGTGTACACGCTGCTGTTTACCTTGGCCAGGCCTTTCACCAAGTCCATGGTAAGTGAACGGCTTCTGTCTTCTAGCACCATAAACACCGTTAGTGCGCCTCTCAGGATGGGTCCTGGAGAAACCCAGACACCCTTCTCCACCCTCTGGTCTCTCGAAAGGATGAGTCTGGTCCTAAGGGCAACATTGTCAGGCCCATTAAAGCCATCAGAAAGAGCTCTTGAACCCATTTCCGTGGGCTTTAGATTAAATTTGTTTCTCTAAAGGCGTCTCGGAGGGCTGGATAGAAGATGTGGTTTTCCAATCGTGTGTTTAATATGGCTGAAATTCTTGATGGAAATGATTTGTTTTTGTTTGATGTGATTTTCTTGTTTTTTGATTCAGAAACTTTGGAAATCTGTTTTGTTGAGTGCAGCACTTGAAACCTGTTTTGCGTTAGTAGGTGAAAAACATATTAATAGATTCGTGACCGTTGAATTATCGGCAGATGTGATTCCTTTGTTTTCATTGAGAACCTGTGTCTGATGTTCTAATTTCTTCTTTAGTGGGTGTAAACCTCTGCCAGAAAATCCTTCAATGGCTATAAGTGTGCTTTATTCTTCACTTCCCCTAACACAAATCCTTTTGGATGAAGCACACTACTGTGCTTAGGTTTAGTGTTCATAAAGGTGGATATGAAGTTTTTGCATTTTTGATGGTCATTTGTCAACCATATTGAGAGACATCTTCCACGAAACATTTAGTAGGAAGTAATTTGAATGAAGTATGTATATCTTACACAATGTATTTGGTAGATTGCTTTTCTAAAAGTACAGGCCTTCAAAAATGTTTTTGTAATAATGGACACCAGTATTCCAGTTACCCAAGCGTAACATCTACTCCACAGAGATTACCCTTTCTCCAAATGCATTTTGGCCTTTAGAAGTAATCAGAAGTCAGACCATCAGCCTCCAACTGATCTCATAGCCTCTGATTGCCGTCTGCCACCTTCTCTTGCACGCGTTCCCACCTACCATCCTCAACGTTCATGTTGTGGATGACTCTTAAAACGCCATCAAAAATCTCTTGAACTGCTTAGGAGAAAATAAGTGCATATTTTATTTTAATCACTCAAGTGGTTTTTATGCAAAATAAACAGACGCAGTCAGAGAGCTGAACACTTCAGATCAGAGGAGTTGGAGTGAAACGATCTATGTAGAGTGGTTTTCCATGTCGCAGGGTGGAGTCGACATCTAGAAAGCAAACGAGTGACCCCTCTGCAGGTGGGTAACAGGTTTCTGAAATTTCCCCATCACTTCACTCTCAATGATTGCATAAGAGTAGGCTCTCCACAGGGTGACTTTGACCCTACTTATGCCTCAGATTCTGTTAGGTCCATCAGTTTATATGAAAAGGAGTTATATGGGTCTGAACTGGGCTCTAGTGCCATTGAAACGATGAATTGTTCAAATTTAGGATGAGGAAGAGGAGAGAGGTGCATTCTTTCCTGTTTTCTGCTGACCTGGTGCCTTCAGGACCAACAAGGCCAATCATCAAACATACTTTGTAATCTTTGGGTCTTGAATCTTCTCACTTGTATTTCTTCATTAGTGGGAGCTAAGGAACTCACTTGTATGATACCAGAAAGTTTTGTTTTCTTCTTTTTCCGGAATGTCCCTAATCAGGAAACTGTGATGGGAAAGACTTGGAGGTGGATCTCTGACTGCACAGAATCTGATGGAAGGGGATGTAACCTTCTCACCATCTAAATGGATGAGGACTTGTTGACAGAAAATAGTAGAAACTGTTATTCTGTCACCTGATTCCAGGGCTCAGGGACTCTGGACAAGAGCAGATGGGAGAAGATGGGAAATGCATAAAATAAGTAAAATAAATATGGGATAAATATTTTTGTGTGTTGAGGAAGAGTCGATTATTGTCTGATATCTAATGTAAACTGTGCTTAGTTAGCAAAATCGGGCTGGATCATTGGCTCATTGGACGTAACGGGAGACATTCTGAAAAGTGCCAGCAAATGGAGTGGGGCAGGCAACTGTGTCCCGATATCATGGTGTTGCTGTTTGTGGGGGCGAATGTGGTCAGGGCTCAAGCCAAGTGGAAAACCAGAGTGTGGAGTGAAAAACTGAGGCAGAAGCATGCCATGAAGATGAGGAAGCACCATGAGTTAGGGGATAGTGGCCGCTCAGTGAGCACCATACCTGGAGCTCGTGCCAGCAATAGCAGAGGCCTGGCCTCGGTTCTGATTGCTCCCCCTTCCCCGGCCAGTGTGGAGAGGCCCCCACCCTTCTCACCTGTGCCCCTGTCGGCAGAGCTCAGAGACTACTTGCAAATAGGCCTCAATGACTATAGCAAAGCAAGGGCTGGAATAGAGAAAAACGCTCTCTGGGAGAAGCCTTGGGAAATAGATTAAACAAAGACTGGTTTTTAAGGTCTCAGGTGGCCCACAAATGGACTTTTTTTTAGATAAGCATATAGATTAGGAAGACTATAGGATATGTAGCTTAGTTGATATTCTTATTAAAATCCTAAGAACATCTTTATTAATATATTTAGGTGTTTCGTGGTATGTTTTTAGCCATTGGGGTTCCATATAACTCTTTTTACAAAGAGGTGGAGTGGGGACTCTCAACTTACTTGTCAGATTCACAGCCAGTCACTTCCCTTTCATTAGCATGTAGGACTCTGTATATTTAGGAGAAGAGTCAGCATGAGTGTAGACCTGGGGCTGGTCAATTTCACTAGTAGGATAGATTGGACTGATTGGAAAAGTCACCCTCTGTGCTGCCTTCTGTAGGTATCTTGGCTTTGCTTCCATCATGATAAGGCATTTGTTTCTTGGACAGAGGGTGCTCTTCTGACATTTTAATGCAAACACCTTTTTGGACGTACACCATGAGGTTACATCCCCATTTCCCCTCCATGTAAAGGTTGGGTTTCCAAGTGCTGATGAAGAAGCTTAGCCCCGATGCCATCTCCCATCCCCATATGGCTGGTGCTGTGCTGTGTTTGTGCTCCGTAGCTCCATCTGCATTTCACCTTGGAGAAAGCGTTTTCCTTTTGACATGCATGTTGCTGGAGTATACATGCCATTGCTTGAGGTCAAGGGAACAAGAAATACATACCAGCCTTGTGCTCAGAAGCCCTGCCTTCGTTTCCCCACTGCAGCTGGCTCCCTTAAGTATTTAACAGCAGTATGCTAATATCAACGTCCCTTTTTTATTTGCTGTGACTTGCTGTGACTATGGTGATTTTAGTTACAGTAATTAGGTCACCCTTCATGGAGTCAGGCTATTTTAAGTGCCTCTTTAAGGAATATTGTTGCAGATCAGTAATTTTACAATTGGATGTTCTTGTGCAACTTTATTAAATGTAATCTGTCTTTTAAATGTTGCCCTTTTACAGTTATACATTTCTAATTGTTGCTGTAAATGCATTATCACTTTGAAATTAATTAATTTTTCCATTTTGGCCGCCTGCAGTATAATAATCACTAATGAGAAACTCATAGGATCAATTCTCAGCACAGCGACCCCTACTGGTAAAGCCATGTCTCTGCCACCCTGTTCCTCTTACAGATCCAGAGGACTGGACAAGTGTATTGAGGGGCCTGAAGGAGAAACGTTTGTCTCCCCTCCCTCCAATTTATGATAAAATAAAAATAATAGGTAAAAATGGAAATGGGTTTATTTTTAAATGTTCAAGAGAAGATGCAAGATTCTTCAAATAGTTATTTCCAAAACATCTTCAAGGAAACTAAAGTCTGTTGAGTGCTTTCTAATAATGAAGTCACATCATGTGCACATCATATGTTTACTCTCCTGTCTCTCTAGCTTTATTTTATGCAATTAAGTTACCCTAAAATTATATTTTGCACATGCATGAATATGCATTGCGGGTTAGTATATATAATATATTTACATAACATATACATTTTGCTCTATGGATTTTAATTCACAAAACCAGGCACCGTACTATCTGGTGACATAAGAAATGTTCAAGAGTAATTTTGGCTGTTTGCAATCGTTGCTGTATGTGATGACTTTAGGATTCTACCACAATCCAAAGAAAGATGCAAATTGGCAGTTCAGGCCAGATACCGGGATGCTTCACATATCACCGTTTGTGTTTTCATTAACTTATCACAGCAGTTCTGCAGTCTCAGAACTACGATCTTTATTGGACAGTTGAAAAGCACAGAGAGCTCACCCAGCTTGTTTAAGAAAATGGTATTCCAGCCTTCACAACCTTCTTTAGCTTCTCCCAGGGACATTTACTTTGTCAAATGCAGCCTCGTGCCCCTGCCATATATATCTAGTTGTGCAGTTATGTTGCCTTCTTAAAATGTTTGACAGCACCTTCATGAAATTAGCCCCCTGCCTTCCCCCCCGCCCCCCACAGAAGCTTTCAGTTCTGGTAAACAACTTCTTCGCCAGAGTTCCTAGGTCCAAGCCAGTCCTTTGTGGATCAGTATGTAAATTTGAAGCTGAGCACAGTCACGTGCCTCTTGGGGTGTTTTGTGCAACCAAATATTTGTGTTGGCAGGTAACAGTAGAAAGAATATCATGTGTTAGGGTAGCAAGAGCTTAGCAGATGTTTTAGGGAACTGCATTTTCAAATCATTTTACATTAAAAAATGGCTCGAGTTTATAGAACTTCTGAAACGATTGGATTACGTTTCCTGTGACCGTGCAAAGCCAGTCATTGTGCTGAGTTTTAACAGATGTGCAGCTCCCCTGCTAATGGATGGGCCTGCAACGCTGGTTCTGTTGCAAAGTTATAAATTACAACTAGCAAAAGCACAAGATGTCATTCTTCTAACCTTCATGAAAGCCAAACGGGGTAATTCTGCCCTTGAATAACCTGCTGCAGGGTGATTTATAGTTGTACAATTTAAAACATAATGAAGGAGATAATAGATGTTGATTTGTTCTTTAAATTAGTATTTTAGAAAAATACTTCTCCCCCTTTCTCCCTTTAAATACCTGCAGCTGACTACACTGTGGGTCCCATCAAGGATAAAACCCCCCGTCGGAATCTTTACCGGTGCATTG